CAATATTTCACCTTTATTGGTGGTTTCTTTTCACTTATAAATTTTATTTCTATTCACAAATCCAAACATTTATCAGTCCTTAAATTTTTCTGGTTTCCATCTCTTCATGATTTCCAAACAAGTTAGGATTCACTTATCATATGTCCCACAATCACATGAAATCATGTTCAATGATACAAAGACCAGGAAAATCAAGTGTCTTAAACTCATTCCTAGCAGTTCCCACTGTCGAAAGATGTCCAAGTTATGTTCTTCATCAAGGAATCAAGTTAGTATATGTTCTATACTAAAACACACAAATTTAAGAATACATATGCATAAGCTTTTAATATCCCAATTCAGGTTTAGAATGAAGAAATACTTACCAAAGTTCCTCAAACAGATTGTATTCCACTTGATCAACGACCTATAATCACCATACATAAACATAATAAGATTTAATTGACAGAAATGAATTAAACCTAAGGAAAATTACTAACAGTGGTCATTTTGAGTAATTACCAACAACAAACTCGTTTTTCGGTATTCGGTGAACCACCACTTTGACTCCCTGCGTAGGTGTGGGCGATTTACTTTCCAAAATCTATACGTATACACATACATACGTATTAGCATCTGTATTCACCAAAACTCCACAACGAAAAAGGAAACGGAAGGTCACTTAATTCGGTTTAGGTGCTGTGAAGACCGAACAGCCTCAAGTTTCCAGATCCAGATTTACACCACCAGAGATGATTTACGGTTTTCCCGAGAAGTCCCTCACACTCACCATGGCAAGGTGAGCACTATAGCTCCTGCAACCTATAAACACATACGTTAATACCCATTTCCATTGAGAACTCACACCGAAAGAGAAAAACGAACTCACCCGGTTCGGGTTCGATGTCCTAAAAACCAGAAATAGCCTCGGGTTCGATTCCTAGCTTCTGGAGGATGGTCTCTTTGGTTCCCCGAGAGCACTCCTCACTTGCCACGATGTTTGGAGGATTTGGTTTCACACCTACATGCCAGTTAGAGTGAAATACGAAAAGGGAATCTCAGAAAAATAGAAAGGAACAAAACTTACCTACTTTCATAACGCCAGCGTCGTGCGCAACACAGCTTCAGAATCCACCAGCAATGCGGCATTTCTCGATCGAGGTTCCCTTCCCCTTTCTTTCCTTCGGCCTTCCGCCTCTGCAATACCTCCTCCTTCCTCTTCAGTCATGTTTCCTTTTCTCCTTCTAGTTTCCTTACTCGTCTCTCTCTCGAGCAGTGTTCTCTTCTCCCTCTCAACCCGACCCTCACTCAACTCGGCCTCCTTTTCACCCACTCGACTCATATCTCCTCTTCTCTCTCATTTTCGGCTCCCATTTATTGAATTCAAAAAGAACCCTAATTTATTCCTTTAAATACCAATTGCCCTAACTATCCGATCTTGTAATCTTAAATTTGGATCGTTCGACTGGATGTGATTTCCAGTTATCGAATCTCTCAAATAGTGCGATCTTGATCGTCCATTTTCTTATTTCTATTTGCCCCCTTCCATTCTCATTTAATTATGCTTTTGACTCCCTTTTTTTTCATACGTTTTCATTTAGATCCTTAAAATTTATAAAAATCCCCTAATTTTGTAAAATTTCTTTCATTTAAACCCTAAGTTCTAATTTTATTTATTTATTTATCGTCTTTCTATTGAGAACCGGATATTACAGAAGTACATATAACTGAAAGTTCAAAACTTACTAGCAATTAAAAAGTGTGGAACAACATCAAGCAAAAATCAAAGCATACGTGAAAACTGAGATGAGAATGTTTTATAGACCCAATATTATTTTTCATGGATACTCCGATGAACCCTTTTGTTTAATAGATTAGAAATATTTAAAAGAAAAATCTCTTCAGGCTAGGAATAATTAAAAAATGTTGCTATCTAATCAAGAAAAGAACTATAATACAGAAAAAAGAAAACATAAAATTTCTTTATAAGCATCAAGAAATACAGAAATAAGAAAAAAATCACTCTGGAAAAGGTAAGAGTTATAACCTAAGCATATGAAGATTTTCTCTGGTTGCATGTTGGAGAATAGTAAGTTTTGAACATTAACTCATCTCTGTTCTTTTATGTTTTTTTTCCTCTCTCTCCCGCTACAAGGCTTGTAGGTTTTCAAGAATCTGGTGAAAGAAAAATTAGTCGAGAGAAGAGAATGAAGAGGTTCTTTTTCCTACAAGTCTTAAAACTCATTTCTAGGTTTTCTCTAAAAAGAAACCATTTTGTGCTTTTGAGCCTTCTTCTTCTGACTGATATTTCTATTATGCTTTTCTTCTCTGTTTCTCTCTTATCTACAAGGTTTTGTATATTTTGAATGATGTAAGTGGTGAAGCTTTTTAAAGGAGGGGGATATTCAATTAAACTTTAATTTGAATTTGTTTTAATTAATTGGCTCATGATGCTTAATAAAATTAATTTAATTTCATTTAATTGTTACATCACATATGGGTTCATTTTCACTTGCTTAAAACCAAATTAAGAATTGGACTGTTGAGTCTCTTCTCCCTACTACGTTCTTTTAAAATTCAATCTCTCATGCCGACAAGTCTCGCCCGAGAGGAACACAAAGATCTACATTAACAAAATTTTAATTTAATGCCTAATTGTTTTAATATTTACAATATTTTTGAAGATTAATATATCTCCATTATTTCTAACAAATCATAGTGTAGAATTTTGCAACAAAAATTAAAAAAAAAAAACACTTCATGGCCTGTTTATGTGTTTAAAAATATATTAAAATAATAATAATAAAAGAAAATAAACACAGATAAAAGAAAAAAATACTAGAAAACTAAAGAAACTCACCAAAGAACAAAAAACACAAAATCTTAAACAGGCGCCAAAAAGCTAAAAGAAAGAATATTTCCCCAAATATATAAAAAGCTCATTTAACTTGTTATGTATTTTATATAAAATTTACACAAGTGGTCATAATTAGATCCAAATTTTACTTACTGTATCCAAAAGAAATACACTAATAGAGTTAATCTTTATAAAATACAAATATATACCTCTATTGAATAATATATGTTAGATTAAGATGTAGAATCCTTGAAGGAAAACCAAAAAAGCCTTGAGATGTTAATGATGTAATGCGTGGGAACATGAAAGCCATAGCAAGGGAGCAAAAGTATAAAGCATGAGCAGGCAAATTTGATGTAGTACTATCAAGTTAAAACTTCCATATGTGTATACGTGTATATATCCCTCTTCAAGCAATTATGCAGACAATCTAAGATCGAATACTTAAAATAAAATATGTTGGGAAAAGAGTATGGCATATAAAAAACCCACATTCTTGTTTATGATGGTTATTAGCACCAATAAGGACCCACCCATTGTAGATATCATGAATTCATCACCTGGGCAGCTCAATAGCTAATGAGATCATTTGCAACCACCTATTAATGCTTTGTTATGAAACTGTCATACTCTATTATTCTGTTATGCAGCTGTTACGTTTGGTTATAAGTGGTTTTTCAATTTTTCTTTTTTGTTTTCTAGGTTCTATATATAAATAGGAGTTTGTAATTATGGATCATTAGATCGTTCATTTTTCTATCATCAATAAAATAATTTTGTTCTCACTAAACATTATTTTCTGAGCTGTGAAAATTTGTTCACTTATTGGTTTTTTTTAGCTATCGTTTTCTTTATATTGTAATATTAGCATAATTTAGATTATTATATCTATCCAATATGATTCTTCACAACTTCTTCCTTATCATTTATGATTTGTATGAAGCATAAATATGAAATTGTAAATCGTTTGCAAGCTAGGAAACACATATAAGATGATTGGGAATGGAGTTGACGATTCTCCCACACTTCAAAAGGCTAATATTGGCCTAGTAGTTGCTGATGCAGACTGTTACAACTCCTAGTGCTTCTGACTTTATTTTAATGGAACCTACGCTTATTAGTGTTGTTCTAACAATTTGATCAATTTCCCAAAGAATGAAAAATTACACAGCGAGCAAGCTTACGCTGTGATAGTTAAAAAAAGAGTTTTACCTTCAACATTTCATTAGTTATTTATACTGCCTATTGTATGCAAATGAATTTCATGTGTCCCAAGTTTTTCTCTCATAACATTTGATTTTTAGATTGATTATATTAGTTTTAATTATGTTTGTATTACTGGCTCTAACATGGCAATTTGAGTTCCGACCCTTCATGGTGCTGATAATTATCTATCCTTATGATGGTTTTACAATTTCCCTCTCCCTCTCCTAAAACTCCATTCTTGACAAATTCATAAAATCAAATTAACTTTAACCTTTTTTTTTCTTCGGGAGCATTAGAAATTATTTTCTATTTAGAATCTAGCAAGAGGATGTTGTATACCAGGTTCCATTATGACAATATCAAAAGATAGAGTAAAGTCATCTCCTCAACCACATAGCTAGAAATTGGCAGAAATGTTTACAACTGGGATCATTCTTATAGGCTACTTGGGAACAATGACTGTCATTTCTAATCTGGGTAGCCTATGTTGGGTTTTGGGTTCCCTCCTATGTGAAAAAATCCAAATTCTTTGAGTCCACTTATTTTTGTCCCATCAAGGTTATTATGATTTTTTATAGTATATCACTTTAATCCGAAGGAACAGTATAAAAAAAATTTTGAACCACCAAAAGAAATAAAACAATAAAGGGAATATTTGCTTAAAAAATTACATCCAACATGTTTCGGTTCCTTTTACGATCAAATGGCCATCTTTTTTCGGATCAGGCTAAAATTTGGTGACTATTTAGAAGACTCATTTTTCTTCATTCTGAACGGTGGAGATCGATTCTGAACGGTTGGATTTCCAGTATTTCTAGTTTGAAGTTACTGTTTACGTTTTTCTTTTCTACACCGACCAATTTGATTTTCTCCGATCATTGGACGATCATTTGTGGTCTGATGATGCTAAAATTTGGTGAGCATGTTCAGAATAAGTGTTCTTTGATTTGAACGGTGGAGATCGAATTTGAATAATCAAAACGCATCCGTTTTGCATAGTAGCTGCTTTGGTGATATTTCTCCATTCTCTTGCTTAAATCTTATTATTTGATTGATTTATTATTTAAAATTTATTTGAGTATTATAGTGGTTGCTTGTTGTTACTGTAAACACCAATTTTTATAGTGGAGCTCTTTTTTACTTAGATCAGGAGAGGTCCCATAGTTTTTATCCCTCGCATTGAATGGGTTTCTCACATTAAAAATTTTAGTGTCTTTATGTGATTGTTTTTTAGCATCTTGGGGTAGATTTTATCATATTTATTTTGAATAAATTTTTACTTAGTTTTCACTTCTCATAGGTTATTCAAGTGTTTCCCTACAAGTGATATCAGAGCCAGATTCACTAATTCATTAGTTTATTGTGGATTTTCTTTTGCTTGTTTGAATGATGGAGGTCAATGTGAGTAAAATAGTTTATTTGGATGACACAAATTATTACAAGTGGAAAGGAAAAATGAAGGTTCTTCTTGTTTTAAAAAGATTGAATTTACCTATGTTTGTTTCTCAAAAACCTAAGTCTAAATCCGATGAAGATTGAGAATTTGAGAATTTAGAAGTATGTAGTTTTTATTCAACAATTGGTAGAAGATAATGTGTTGAATCATATTGCTAATGAAACAAATGTCAAAATTTTGTAAAAAAAGCTTGAAACCTTATATGCTTCAAAGACTGGAAACAATAAGTTATTTTTTCTTAAACAAACTATATGTTTATAATATAGAGAATATAGTTCTATATTTGATCATGTGAATGAATTTTAAAGTATCTTTAATTAATTGTCTGGCATGGGTGTCAAATTTGATGAAGATGTTATGAGACTTTGGTTGTTGACTACACTTCCTTACTCATGGAAAATTTTTTGTGTATTTTTAACTAATTTTGCTCCTGATGGTGTTGTAATCATGCAGTATGCAAGGACTGGCGTTTTGATTGAAGAGA